CATACCACAACAATGACATCACTCTCTCGGCTGTATCAACAACTTTTCTTCAAACGGACATGTGAGTTCATCTGAAACATGTCCAGTTTATCTAAACACTGCTCCGTTTATTGGGCCAAACACTAACTCTGATTTACTCCTCACTGCCACATGGGACAATACAACACACAGGGTAGCCGTGACAGGTGACAGATATGGCCTTTGTATCTAAAGATAATGTATTCTGTGACACGAATCTTGGGTAAAGGCTGTGAATATGACACATAAGTCTAAATACTAAGCTTTTTTCTTTTATAGATCATATTCCTAACAGATTTATCCTCTGTGAATGGACAATACAAGGCTATTAGGTCAACTTCCTCTTTGCCCCACTTCCCTCTTTCCTGTGTGCCTACTTCTTTTCCACTCAGTCTATCAGGCTCTTAACAAACCCCCAGTCTCCACTGTTTCCTTAGGCAGCACATTTTTATACAGTAGTTTGCAAACAAGTCTCTCGCATGAGGCCAGGGGGGAACAAGGCATCCTCACATCAAATCAGGCCACAGTTGGTGGTTAATGTCCATCAAATGCCATGCCTTTGTGTCCGCTTTTTCACAGGGTCTGAAGCTATTAGGTCAACTGATGAAACTAGAGGGGAGCCTAACCGAAAAAGTGCCCGGGATAATAGAGTAACGTTTCTATTCACCTCAGGAGCCTTGTGGGATAAACGCACTAGATACTCACACTTGTGTATAACCCTGCTGTGTAAACTGCTTTGGACGCAGAAAGGCAGCGAGACACAATGGAATCCATTACGTGCTGGCGGTAAATGAAGCTGCAGTTGAGCCAGCCATGCAAACACAGTATTTGAATATCACATTCATGTCTGTGCAGGTGGCTGCTTAGATTGACGTTCGGGACAGCAAGACGTTAGAGTTAAACGCGACCACATCCTAACAACACCTTAGCGATCAGAGCCAGCGCTTATAGACATGTAACAAGAAAAACACTCAAAAGTTTTGTGGGTGAAAAGAACTTTCCCACTGACATTAAATGGCAGTAATGAATGACCAAAAAGAGGCAACGTGCCAAATGAAACTAGTGCGGTAACACGAGCACAAAGACGCTCAGACACCCTTTATTACAGTAACCGGGCGCTGCTCTGGAAACAGGCCAGCACGTCGGAGAAAAACACCTATTTTGAACAGATGCTTGCAAATTGCAGCAGGTCCCATACGGAGATGGAGAATGACTCAGCAGTGTTTGTGCAGACAAGCTGAAAGCAAACTTTCAACCTCACAACAGAGCACACAGTCTCCAGCACATGTCCAATATCTGGTCCTGAGAACATAAAGACTCCATAATATCGCATGACTCAAAGCCTTGAAGGATTACTGAGGGAGACTTAAAGGTTTTATAGAGAGTGCCCTTGTGACTTGTTGTGGTGAAAGCTAAACACTGGTTGCAGTACTTGATGGTAACAGGAAACACAGAGTAACTGGATGTAAGAGGGCTATATAAGTCCATAAATGGATATGAGCCACATGACACCTGATGAGGCATAAACTTGATATGGCCTGTTTCTGCTCTCAATATGGGAACAGCATGCGGTTCTACCATCCCCTACTGTACAGTCAATGGAAAAATAATCTCTGCAATGACAGAAAATAAATATATGCTGTAAAGACTAGCCTTTATCTGCTGACAAACGATCGTTTTCTCTCATTTACTTCGCTTAAAGGCCCTGCACACCCGCACCACTGTTTTCACTTATAGCTAATTAGGCCACTGATGTTGCGCGGAACTGAGAGTTGTCAACCTAGACAGTATGTGGTCTCATCACTCAAAGTGAAAACGCCTGTCAGTGTGTGCAGCGAGTAATAGGGTGTTAGAATATGCATAATATTGGGCTTCAACAAAACTGATGACTGTCATATATCAAGATTAGGGGTGTAATGGTGTGTATTCCCACCCTGAACTGTTCAGTATGCAACATTTAGTTGAGGATGAGACCTCCTCAGTTCCCCACTGCTTGTGATCCAAACAAGTACAGTCGAAAGCAGATTTAAATCTATGCACTCACATGCAAATTCTAGGGTGTAGCTGTGTCTTCAGTCAGGCTGATCTAGGGATGTTAAAGACTAAATGTTAACCGATAATATGCTGTTGAAAATGTAATAATTAGAAAACAGATAAGGCAGGAGACGAGGCACATGTGTGAAGGAAGATGTATTGTTTGTGTACCTTTCCTGTTCAGTGAGACGGACTTCCAGGTGTGTTTGCTGACGACCTACCTAAGGCTCATGCTAATGCTAACCCAACCCAGGAGCTGAGTGTCTGTTAGCAGAGAGCAGCTGTAATGATGGAGTGTATCAATGACGCTCTGCTCTGAGTATAAACACTTTAAAGAGGTGGCGGTTAAAACTGACAGATTTCCTGGACTGATAAAGTTGCTACGACAGTATTTGTGGAGATAAGTTCCAGCTGAACATCTGTTTCCAGCAGCTGGACTAACGCTAACTACAGTAAACGAGTCAATCCATCACGAGGATCAGGTACAAAGATTACTGCCATACAAAACACTTTGGAGTTTGTCGGGCCAATCTCTGAACAGGATTATATTTTTTCTATTTATTTCATAATCCAAGCATAAAATTTGCATCTTTAGGCTGAACAATTAATTTAAAATCAAAACTCAATGTGGGTTTTACTGCTATAGCACTTTGTCTCACTGACTTAAAGACACAGAAAAGAGCCTGTAACCTGTGCTTTTCCAAATACGACAAGTGACAATGTCGGCTGGGAAACAGGCCTCTTCCATGTTAAGTCAATGTCTTGACAATAAATGCCAACATGCAGCCAGTACAGACATGCATCTGCTGCCACCACCCTGCATTGTGCTCATAATGACACCTGTGTAAACACTCTATTCACAGCAGAACAACAGAGGGGGCTCTTCCAATGACAAAAAACCCTCCCGGGCACTCAACTGACTGTATATATTATTGCTTTTTGAAATGTACACAAAGGAAAACACTCGGATATAACAAAACTGTTTAAAACTGTTAGACATCAACTTACATACATCAGAGGAGGAGAAATTGTCTTGTTTTGCGAATCCACCGTGACATTTTTCATCATCTGTCAGTCCTCTTTTCTCATTTCATTAGTTGTATGTGTTCAATGCAGTCGTACAAATCAACATTTTTTATTCACTGCCGACTCCGCAGTACATCTCGGTTGTCACAAACAATCGACTCTACACGAGGACTCTAACAAATAAACCCACTGACACATAACAATCAATAACATGCAATGAATTTACCTGTGGATATTTTTTTATTACAAGGGCATTTCCTGATCTTTGAAGGGTACTTTCGCTCAATTTCCCACCCCGTGTCTGTACATCTGAGATCCTGTGTCTATACTCTACCATGTACTAAGCTATTCCAAGCCTTTAAACATCTGTGGTCTTACCGAGGGAATGACAGAACTGATAAGCGTAGCTAAGTATAGCCCTAATGATAGGCCACATACAGAGGGAGGAGAGGGCAAGGAGGATCAGAGGAAAGTCAAAGTCAAATCAAGTGGCTCGACTCTGAGCACAACACCGCAACACACACGGAGACATGCACGAAACCACAATGCATCACAGTGAATCACTTCTTTTTAAGACCTCAGCTATTAGGTTCTTTATTGATTTTTAAGCACAGTCAGTGGGGTTGAACTTATACAAATACTGTTTTGCATTAATATACGAGACTAGAAAGAAACACCAATATGTAGAAACTACCTCCAGCGGACAGGACCACTGCACACAGCTCACATCTAATCGTCTGAGGAGCTGTTTTACTCTCACCTTGCTCTGTGCTGCTGACACCTCCATCCTTCATCTGTGATTCCTGGCATTGTCAGATAAATGACTTCACACTTTCTCACTTTCAGGATTACGCAAGCACATTTTAACATCTTATCTGTCTCAAGGCCGCCCTTCATGGGCACCACAGAGACTCGGACTACGGTAGCACTAATGTTTCTCATGTAGCTACATTACAAAGAGCGCTGACACACACACACAGTCTGGAAAAACCCCTCACATATTGAAGTGAAGTTTGGGTGGTCTTCAGCAGGCAGGTGCACAGTGTAGACATTCAGCTGTTGTCGGGAGGAACCGGATTGTAAACACACCCTCAGCCAAGGTGGCGCTCCAGGACCCTCGACCAACAGGTGCATGAGGAACACACACATGGATGTGCATGCGTGTGTGTGTGTGTGTGTGTGTATACAACCCCGCCCTAGCGCTGGAGGAAACCAGAGGAGAGTCCATCTCACTTACACTAAGGCCAATCGGTCATGCCTTATCCTAATGTGCATTGGCGCTCTGATGCCGTGGCGCTTTACACTGTCTGGGCTGTAATAGAGCTCAGCCTAAAACGGTACACAGACACCACGGGGGGAAAGACTTTGACTGACAGCAGCTGGTATAAAAATATGAATATGTGTGAGGTCGCAACCGCACGGCATAAAAAAAAAACAAGTTAAATATGAACTGGTGTGTGGTGCTGGATGTAACTTCATGACGGCGTGTGAGTCATCTTCAGTTACCCTTTAGTCCTGACATGTGCACGAGCGACACATCTCAGCAGGAGATAGAGTTCTCTTCAAGTATGAACTACTGAGGCGTACGACAACTGTGTGAGGCACCAGTTTCTCAGGATCAGTGTGCACGATTTCTTTCCTGAAATCTGCTGTGTGATATCTTTTTTTTTTTCTATTATATGCATATTACATAAAGGCCTGCTCATCCTCCTTCATGGTACAGTGACTCTTTCAGGGCATGCTATGACTGTAGGGGGTGATGTTAGAAAACATGGCCTCTTCTGGCTCACTGATCAGCACAGAGGAAGACCACTGACAGCTTCATCACAGCCTCTAAAAGTATGAACAGGAGCAGCATTGCAAAGACAGTGTTCACATCCCTTGACAGCCATAACTAAGGCTCATGAATGCTGATCACTTACCTAAGTTATGCCGTTAAAAGCATGTTTACAGCCTCAGTCTTGGGGTCAGCAAAACAGTCCAGCGGTGAGTTGCCTCGTAAAAACAAAGCCGCATGTTGTGGAGCTTTGTGCTGATGAAGTTGGAGCTAGCATGTAGCTTGTAGCCTGTAGTCATCACACAAGTTCAATGACAGGCTGCTCGCTGCTTGATGGACCATCAGCTGTGTACAGTAGAGCACAAATTAACAAGTCCACACTGAGCGTCGAACAACGAGAGAGGAGCGAAAACGCAGAAACCTCGAGAATAACTCGCTTTTCCATGAATTATTTCCAGTTTGGCGTTAAAAATAGCCCGAAGCTACCCGCAGCACTGAGCCGTTAGTCGCGCTGACAGTGTCAACAACTGATGATACCGAAGCGGTGTCGACTGAAAAAAAAAAGGAAAACAGACAGAAAAAGGCGGTCCGTAAAAGCCACAGCGTAAATAAATAGAATAAATCACGTGTTAAATGCTGTTTCAGACGAAACAGAGCAGCAGCTGGTGTTGTAAATAAACTAACCGCTGCGGGGAACCACACGGTGCCCGAGCGCAGACGGACTCACGGCGGCTTGTCATTCCGACATCCTCCACTTCCAGCGGGGCGGAGCGACTCGGTGTCACCTGGGTCTCAGAGGGTCACATTGCGTGCTAATCTTGCGAGTGCTTCTCCTCACGCCTGTGTTTACGTTTCATACGTATGTAACTCGTCTGTAGGAGCGTGTGTCCTTATTAAACAGCGGATTTATCCACAGAAAGCTAACAGCTCGTGAACTATAGCCGTCATGCTAACCGCTGATGTGACGTCAGACCGCGAAGAGCCGTAGATGATCAGAGTTGAGTCAAATCTGTGCAACAGGAGCGTCTAAGGTTCCAACACATAGGGGAGGCATGGGGCCAGAAAACAAGTCCTCAGATGGCACATACTAAAAGCTATAAGGGATTTTCAAGATTTTTATTGTGCTGTTTTTATGTCAGGAACAGCTATGCAAATATAGAAAGAGATCACATGGGACAGCTGGAAAGTTGTGATAAACTTTATTGATCCACGAGGGAAATTGTTTTATCACAGTAGTACAACATAAATAATTATATAAGAACATACAAAAAAATGTATGAAAAAAAGCAAAAATAAATCAAGCAGGGAAAAAAAGAATACAATACACAGATTTCCATATGTGCAATTTACAATTTTGCAGTTGTTTTTTGACTTTTTTTTTGCCAAGTAAAGAAAGACAATAAAGAAATAATAATAATTGTAATAATTACTTTCAATTTCAGTTTGGATTAGATTGCACTTTATTCATCACCACAAATGGGGAAACTCACAAAGGCTGTGAGAACGCTGGTACGAGGACTGTGAGACACACAAGGTAACATACATGAGGTAATGAGATAAGGTAATGAGGGGAGATGGGAGACAGGTGAGGGAAAGCCATCGGGGAGCAGGTGTGACGAGACAGGTGCAGGAAGTAAACAGAACAGAGACAACCGATATGTGATTTCAAAATAAAACAGGAAAGACAAGACATAAAATGTGCACACAAAGCATAAACTTGACAGACCTGACAACAATATTGAAAGAGAACTACAACATGTTGTAGATTCTGACAGCAGCTGGGATGAAGGACCTGCGGTGGTGCTCCTTCTTACACCGTGGGTGGATCAGTCTGCTGCTGAAGGAGCTGCTCACAGACCCCACAGTGTCATGCAGGGGGTGAGAGGCGTTGTCAATGATGGATGTCAGCTTGGCTAACATCCTCCTCTAACCCACCTCCTGTATGGGGTCCAGTGGACAGTTCAGAACAGCTGAGCTTGTTGAGCCTCTTCCTGTCCGTGCTGCCTCCACTCCAGCAGATCACAGCGTAGAAGACAGCAGAAGCTACCACAGAGTCCTAAAAAGTTCTGAGAAGAGCCCCGCACACTCCAAAGGACCTCAGCCTCAGATTTTGTGTTTTCCTGTATATACATAAAGGCATTTCAACCAAAATATGATGCAGAAAAGACACACATTCCCTAGAATAGAGGAGATTAATGTTGCTTTGACTTTATAATTATATTACAAAGGGCTCATAAGTTATATAAGTAATGGCTTAAAAAAAAAAACGTTTCTGCCTTTTTGATCAGCCAAACACTATCCATCCATCCATCCA